CCTCTCTCAATCAACTTCCTCCTGACTGCTTTTCTGTTTTGTTTTGTTTCTTTTTGGCATTGTCTTTGTTTTGTTTGTCTACCCTCCCTCCCAAATGTAAAGCGTCTTTGGGTTCAAGAAAAGCGCTATAGAAATAAAATATATTATTATTATTATTCACTGATATCTTGAAAATAACTATTCAGATTATTGTGGCATATTTGTCTTTGAGTGGATTTGATTGTGACTTTTTCAGGTCATAATTGTCTGTTACTGTATCCTAGTTTACACAAGCTATTGAGAGCTGCTTTTTAAAGGTGTCAGCAGTCAACAGGTCATGAGTTCAGTTCAACAGACCCAGATTAATAGAAATAAAATGTATATGTTTTTAACTTGTTTGACATATTTGTTTTGCAAAAACATATACATATTATAAAAAAGTAGTAAATGAAGTCCCAGTTTAGTTTGTAACACCTACCAGTACACACTGATGAGTACATTGGTTTCATGCTATTCCCCTGAAATACATTTGGGTGTAATTTGGAACATGGATGTTAAAGTTGGTGTTCAGATAAAACCTATGATATAGATTGTCAGGAAATGCTTATACATATTCACATTTTGCGGCTTGATGTCCTTATGAAACCTTTCTTCGTAATGTTTTTTGAAAACCCAATTTTCCCACCATTACGTATCTGTAAATATGTTTTGTCCATTGCAAATTAGTTCCTTATTAACATAATTTCTAGGATATATGATCAACGTATGAGTATTCAAAGTCTCTAAAATGTGCATTCACCTTTGATTTGGGCCCCGAGGGAGGTATATCAAACAAGGCTCATTGATAAGACATTATACTGACCTGTTGGTGTTATCTAGCTAAAGAAATGTAACACATGACCGTTCAGACCTCAGGGAGTCATGAGAAAGGCCACTGAAGTGAATCCTGAATCGCCACCTCCCGGCATAAAATCTTCCACGTTATGTGAGTAAGTCAGCAGTCGTGCATGAACGCCTTTGGACAGTGAGTAATGTTGTCAGCAAATAGCCTCCAAAGATTTAACACCAGGAACAAAGAGCATGATTCATAGAGCTGTGATGTATGGATATAATGTAGTGATTCATGACTAAGTCTGCACTGTCAATACAGATCAGGCTGCTCAGATGAATATACAATAGCTAATCATATGGTGTTAGTGAGTCATACAAAGGCTTCTTGGTTGCAAAGATCCACGATTTATTCTCTTTCATTTCTGTCCTTTTCCTCTGCCGTCTTTTCAATGTCGTCCTCCTCACTCTTATTCTGGCTCACATCCGTAGATAAGGGCCGGATCACCAATCTCATTTTGGTAGTCGAGGTGAAGTATGCTTTTATCACATCACTGCAGAGATTAGCACTCTGCCTCTCGCCTCTTCCATCTCGCTCTCTAATGTCTTCTCAAATTGCGAATAATTATCTAACATTAGAATTGTAAAAACACATTTCTTCCTCTCTTCAAATGACCTTTAAATAAAAAGGTATGGCATTAGGTTTCTCTTCTACGTCTTTAGGCTTAAGATGTGCCATTTCACATAACCTTTTAAAATTACTTTTCATTTAGCTGATGCTTTTATCCAAAGCAACTTACAAGAAGTTCAATCCACCATGAGGATACAAATTCAGAACAGCAAGGATCTTGAAATTGCCTTGGCTTGAAACAGCAAAAACCTTTTAAGATAAGACAAAATAAGATCTTTAAAGGAATGGTATGCTCATGACACTCATTTAAAAAAAAAAAGATCATCCGATAAAACAGACCAGTCTTTGCCAGTCTCTCTTTTTTTTTTTTTAATCCGATGACATTATCAGTGATTTTAAACTGATTAATTACCGAAATAACATCAACACTGTGGGCGGCGCCATTTTACCGGACGTGACGTAAACCATGCGTTTGGTTTCGAGGACACGTTGACGTTCATGTTATTTACTGTAGTTACTCTCTTCAAATATGCCTCATTGTATCGCGAAACATTGCCACAATTCTGATAGGAACAATCCACGGAATGCTCGGTTCCATCTGTTGCCAAAAGGTAAGCGTAGGAAGTACGTTCGGAGGCAGTGGCTAGCGAAATGTGGCCGGCCCGAACCGAAAGATCCACAGGCGCATGTATGCAGCGAACATTTCAAGTTTCCGGACGACTACTCTGAGAGTATGATAAAACATAACATGGGATTTATTGAACAACCATTACTTAATGGAGATGCAGTACCATCGGTCTTTCTGGTGTCATCACCGACCAGGACACCAGTTCGGCCAGTTGAGAAATCGCCCTCTGCAAGTGTGAAGCGACGGAGGACCAGAAGTAGTGCTCGGAGTAAGAATAAGGTATGTTATGGCGCGTTTCCATCGTAGCGGGTAGCCCCGTTTAAACGTCCTTTATCGTCCAGGCCAGGCCAGTTTTTGGTGGCCTTTCCATATAGCGTAGTACCGGCTAGTGGGTATTTCCCCCCAGTTTTTCCGGCCCCATAAAATCGTGGTTCTAGGGCCAGGGACAACGAGGCTGAGTATGCTAAACTAGAGAGGGAATCGCTAGCAAGGGTGGTACTACATGCATACATATCTAGTAATCAAAATCATTGTATCTACTAAGTAGTACTAAGTAGGCTCGAACCTGTATGGCTGAATTCCCCCTTCCAATCTCTTCATATTGCTCAAAACTTCGCCATGTTTTCGTGTGTTTACCATAGACTGTATATGGTGTTTACAAAGTGAACGCATGGATGACGTCACGACCATCACGTGACTACTGAAAATGGGCAAAATGGCAGCGGCCTGACGGAATATACAGGTTTTGATAAAAAAGAGCTATAAAATCATTATTTACCGGGGAATATCGCTGATTTCTTCAGGGTATGGTTTAAGCATAATGTTTCACTAAATACTGAAATTTTGATTAATTATCTAATGAGTGGAGCATTCCTTTAATTTGTCATTGTACAAGTACAACGAAATTACAATATGAACTTAAGGTGCCAACTAACTTAAGTGCTACATACAGATCTGAGGACGAGTGTTTTTTTGTTGTTGTTTGTTGTTTAGGCCAAGGTGCAGGCAAAACAAGTGGGGTTTCAGTCTGGCACACAACATGTGTAGATTACCTGCTGTCCTGATATCAATGGGGATCTCTTTTCACCATTTTGGAGCCAGGAAAGCAAACAGGCGTTTTTGTTGAGGGATATGGGTCCCACAGACAGTGAGTATGAGCCAATTTGCACATGCTTGAGTGTATGGTTTAACCATGTTCTGGATGTAGGAAAGACCGGATCCATTCACAGCATGGTAGGCCAGTATGAGTGACTTGAAGATTCAGGCAACTAACGGTGACCAGTGAAGGGAGCAGATTCATATTGGAGTGCCGAGAGGAGACTCTAGACCTCACTCTGCTTTCCCCTGCTCCTGTGGGGCTGCTGTTTCTACTTCTCCACATAACATAACAAATCTGATCCCAGTGGGATTGAGCCAAGTGTAACCCGGAGTATACAAAGACATGCTGAGTCCGTTTTCCAGCACAGGGTTTCCCACACATAGACTATACTTGGGCGGGTCGCCCAGGTATATTAACGGCCGCCCAAGTATATTTCGCGACCCATTTAGTTTTAGTTTTTTTTTTATAAGTTTTTTTTTTTTATATATTTTTTGTATTCGTCCGTGACCACGACGCCATCTGCGATCGATTAACTTGTAGACAATGATCCCTCGCTCCCTTGCTCTGATCTCGCCTCCTTCTGGCCTGTTAAGTGGCCTGCCTCACACAGGGTGACTGGCTGTCCACATGATGTGGCCTGCCGACATGGCCACTGTCATACAGATCATAAATCAAAGCCCTTGATTGGTCTCTGTGTGTCATTCAAGCTCGGGATAACCTCAGCTCAGGTGAGGTAAAGGACTCTCTGAGTGTTTAGATAGTTAACTTAGTCTAAGTTCTCAGTGGGTCTCAAACGGTGTGGTCACCATTTATGTAAACACATATTTCTATTTGAGAGGGTAGTGATTGGTCTAATGGATAGTGAGGTGGGCTGAAGATCGGAAGGCTGTGAGTTCAAATCCCGCCAGGAACACCACCACTACTGTGCCCTTGAGTAAGGCACTTAGCCCTTAGTTACTCCAGGGAGAATGTCCCTGTAATCGGTCATTATAAGTCGCTTTGGATAAAAGCGTCAGCTAAATGAAATGTAATGTGATAGTAAAATATGCATGAATAAATAAATAAAAAGTTAACTAGGTGAAAAAAGGTAAGATACACTTTTAAAACTTGTTGAGAGAAAACTAGTCTTTGCTGCTGCCTCAAAGAGGAGCAGGGGGGAGAGGAGGGAGACAGGAGAGCATTCAGGAGCACACACTCACAACTATAAATGAACCAAAACTAAATTAATAAACAAGTTTCAGTGTTTTTTTCATATTGGAAATGGTATGTTATTGGTTATGGCCTTGATTTTATGATTATTGAAATGTATACAGTTCTGTTAAATATAGGTGTTTCCATAGATCTAGTCTCTTTATTTTCCCCTCAAAATGCACCAGATTGATGCATTTAACTCCAAAATAAAAAATAAAATCTTACCGGGGGGGCATGCCCCTGGACCCCCCCTAGAGGATTTGAGGTCGACCCCCACTAAAAATCACATGGATAGGTTCCTAAATACATTAATAAATACATTTATTTTTTAAAATAGTAACCCATTTCCATATGTTCATGTGTGGGTAGTAGATTTAAACTATAGGGCTATCATTATGGACCCTGCCTGTACCTGTACCTGTTCGCTCTGCCATCGCGTGAAGGGTCTGCTAACAAGCGACCAACAGAAAGGTTAATGTTGTTGCACGTCACCTCAACCCCCCCCGCTACCACCACCCCCCAAAGTATATTTCAGATCTGTGGGAAACACTGCAGCAGCTTGTGTAACTGCTGAGTTTGTGAATATATCAGCAGTGAGCTGAGTGCATTACTGTCACACAGAACCTCATTAAAACTCACAAATGAAATGTTTGCAAACACATTTATTATAATGCAATCTGATGCAAGCACCAATGATGAATGATGCACTACTGATACAACTCTGTACAGTGATTTAACATCAGTACAATAATAATCACTTGTTTTCTTACACAGAACCATCACTGTCAGGATGCTGAAGAACTTAAACGTTTCCCTGATTGTGACATCAAAGCCTGATGTGCTTTTCAGGGTCACCTTGCGGTACGTCACAGCACCATTTGTATTTAAAAAAACAAACAATTTGATCAACATGCATGATTGAATAGGTTTCATTTTGGGAAATTGCTTATTGACATTTCTGCTGGTACCATATCAAAGGCATTTTTATTATGACAGAATTTCATGCAAAATTGCAATAATTGTCAATGAATGAAAATATATTTATATATATATAACCTGAAAGATAGGCACATTATGAAGGTCTGCTATAATCACAAGGCTCTTTATCCTTGTATCGCTGTGTTAGTCCTATTTATTTAGTCTATAGTGTGTGTAGACTATATACAGTATGTTATAGCAATACACTTTATACTGATTTAACATATGTACAGATCATTCTTTTATTCACATATTCTTAGACAGAAATATTTGATCAAACCTTAAAAATAAAGCTTGAACAAAATTCAAATTGTCTGACATTTAGCACAATGCAAATGGCTACCATTAGTAATTGTAAAGTGCATTTCAATCGTTTTAAAGTAAGATGCTGAAAAATAATGTGTGTCACACAACAGAATACAATTTAAGATTTAAACTTCTTGCTGAAAAACTTGTATTCCACAATAATTCAAAGAGGAAACAGTGGCAGGATTAATAACAATGAATGTATATTCCCACTTCTGACAAAAAAGTAAAAACATAAACCAATGTTGGCGCTTCTCCTGGAAATACACTCCTCGAGTTATTGAAAAGCTTTTTGAAACTCTGATGTTAAGTCAGAAAGAGGTTTAACAATAGAGGGAGGGGACATATTTTCTGAAGACAAATGGGAAAGGCTTTCAAAATGGTTACAATTTAAAATGTTCACCCTCCCTGCATCATTTCATGTTTGAATGACCTTTGTGTGTTAATATGCTGTTACATTTGAATTCATGAAAAAGTTCAGAACGTGCATTAACTTAGATTATCTAAAGATATAACCACTCTCTTCTTGGATTAACACGGAAAAAATGTACCTCAAACTAGGAAATGATTTGCTTAACTTTGCCAGCATCTTTAAAACTGAAAAGTGCACAGTACACCTTATTTATTAAATCTGTACAAAAACTGTTAAAACAAAGAATAGCAGAAAAAGTGGAAAATAAATATATTATATAACCCCCTGCCTCTAAGTACATATTTACAATACAGATGTTCTCTGCAAGAAATTAAATATGCATATTTCTCAAAATCTATTCCTTTTAAAACAAAAGGAATGGAAAGCAGCTACAAAACATGCTCTTGTTGCTTTTAAATTCACAAGTCCCTCAGGACTTCTCAGCATGTGGGGGGGAGTGGTCTCGCTGAAAGAGCAGTTTCAAACCCTTCCTGAAGCGGTGGTCCCTGACGCTGTAGATGATGACGTTACAGCAACTGTTTCCTGCCAGGATCCAGAATGCAAAAAAGGAAAAGTTACACCAGGTGTATCCCACCACGTTCCCGAGCACAAACACCGCAATGGGAGAGAAGGATGCTGTGAAGGCGAATGTGAGTATGCTTATTGTCTTTGCGGCTTTAATGTCTGAAAAGGAGGGCCTGTGAGAGCACCCTCCCCCACCTCCTCCTCCCGCTCCGTCACTCAGACTCCCCTCTGAGAGCAGTTTGCGTTTTTGGGAGTACCGTCTGATGCTCGTAAAAGAAACAATGTTAACAGCTAATGTGCCGCCAAGCAGTGTGAAGTCAAATGCTGGGAATAACAGCAAAATGTAGGCATCGGGTGGCAGCTGGCTCCCGAACATCAGAGGGGTGTAGTTACACATACGACTGCACTCATTGTACTCCAAAATGAAGTTCCTGCTGAAGATGAGGGGTGCAAGAGCCAACAGGAAGCTGGCAGCCCAGGAGAGCAGGATGAGCAGTAGAGTTCTTCTCCGGGTCACCAGGACATCCTTGTGGAGAGGTCGTAGGATGGCCACACTTCGCTCCAGCGTCATGAGGAAGATAGTGCTGATGGAGACGAAGGTGCATCCAGCAAATACGGGACCAATCAGCAGGCAGGGCTGCCAAGTGCTCACCAGTCCCCCGAGAGAAGAAGAGTTGTCCAGTAAAGTAAAACTACCCTGGTACCAAGAGGGAGGTGAGCTGGTCAACATGAGAGAGATCTCCGTGTAGACGCAGAAAGGGACCACCAGGACACCGACCATCATGTCTGCTATGGCCAGAGACACTGTCAGAGAGAGACAAAGAGGAAGAGGGCTAAGAGGACATATTCAGTTTACACATTTCCAGCTCTTTATGTTAAAATGTCACTTTGTAATGGAAATCATCCAATGTTGGTATTCAAAAAGGTACTGCAATGAATTAGCTAGACCCTCTAAGGATTTAAACCTTACAAGGTCTTTGGTATTGGCACGATGATACATTCTTGTTATTGACCAATATTGATATTAATAGTTATTTGAAATTCCATTATGCCATTTATACATTTTGAGAATGAATATTGAATTTCTACCAGAGGAAGGTATTGTGGAATATATAAGCATATCCACATTGCGTTGGTTTGTTCTAATGATTTTTGAAAAAACACAATAAAAACATCTACCTTTCAGGTATCCCTGAGCTGTTCGGGACTGCCTCGTTTGCACAAAGACAGTTAGGGTGACCACATTTCCAACCACAATGGCAAAGGCCAGGGTAACCATGAACACCACTGCCAAGGTACGATTGACATATCCACAGCAGCAAAGGGTGCAGAGTGGGGCCAGTGACTCTCCTGAGCCGAGAGCATCCTGCCCCGCTGCACTCAGGTTGAAGGGAGAGTCTGAGGCCTGCAGCTGAGCGGCTGTATTCCCGGGAACACTGACGTTGTAAAGCAGCGCAGTCATGGCCCGGGATAGACTGGTCTTACCCCTGTGATGTGTAGCTGGTAGGGCCACTCAGGAGACCATGTCCTTGACTGGGAAACTATACTGGGGAAAAGAAAGACAAATATCTGCAGGCAGTTCAATTGTCTGTCCAAATGACGATCCAGTATTGTTATAGGCAGCGCTTGTCATTAATAAGCATGTGACAAGTGAACCATATTTTTATGGCAAACGTTCACTTGCTTATTGACATTCAACACACCATCAAACATGCAGGTTACATCAGGCTTTACTGTTGGAACTGTTGAACACAGTTGTGTGTTCACAGTCACACCCACTCACCCTGCGTAAAACAACACCTTCAAAGAGCCTTCCCTCACACAGTCATTCATTCTAAAGTTATTTCTAAAATTAATAAACTGGACATTGCAAGTTAGCAAAAATCCACCTGAGCACATTTAGAGTACAAAAGCCTACAAGTTATCGCCAGGCCAATGTTTTTGGCTCTGATCCAGCTGTCCAGTGTTGATTGCTGAAAGATACAATGCAGTACATCATCAATAAACAATAACATATCGATCCTAAATACTGTTCTGTACAGAAAATTACAGAAAAATATATATATTTCACACGATCCAACCCTAAGTGCAGACATTTCCTGACATGTGTTTCAGGGTGGAACAGGTCAGCACATTTAGCTTTTAAAAGCATTGAATTACAGTTAACATTTTGATCTGCCCTCTACAATGGGTTTCAGCGACACAAATCTGCATGTAGAGGATTTCATATTCAATCCTTTTAAATGCATGGATAGTTTTTAGCATTGTCTTTTAGAAAAACATATCCCTTGAAGCTCGTCATTCATTTGAATAAACTACTTGTACAGATCCTTGCTTATGATTTATGAATCTGTATAATCTACACATCAATGATAAAAAAGATTACATTTAGAGACTCTTGGCTTTAGAATTTTTGAAAGCCAAACGTTATCAGGATACACAGAGGAATATGTGAGTTTATTTTCATTTATTAATCTAACATTGCTGTTTTTCAATATGATGCTAAATAAATAATAAAATATTTCATATATTCATCCATCATGTTTTAAGGCAAGGTGTTTATAGTGCAGTTCATTTTACAAATGATTTAGATAAACAACAACATGTCCTCAGATTACACCGTCACTGCAAAAAAAACACACATATAAATGTTGATATTATATTCAAGATTTCCAAACAGCGTACTGACAGTGATTGTTCTACTTGTGTGTTGTGGTAACATGCTGTTCTTGTGCCCTACTATAGTTAGAAGCACCTCAATGCTAATCCAAGAAGAGACTTTTAGTTCAGAAACCAAATGTCTTTCTCAGATGACAACTAAATACACACATCCTTCAATCATTGAAGTGGTTCACTTCACTGAGCAGGAGAGCAGCAAGGCACAGACATCTAAGAAGAAAAAGGTAACAGGGGTCGACATATTCAGAGCAAAACTATTTCAGGTTCTCACCCTGGCTTTTGGCGCAGGAACATTCAAAGAAATATCACAGCTGTGAGACTCTAAATCCTACAAGACGTTTGAGTTAGACTCAGTTTAATGAGGTTTTCAATAAGCAGAAAAAACACTTGTGGTAATATGGCCTGTGCTCAGCATAATGTTCAGGATTTAATGAAGACTCAGAACTTGACATGCCCCACAACTCATTAACATATGATTGATTTCTTTGAATTTGAATATCAGTCTTTCCTCTTCAAATGACCTTCAAAGAGACTGGTGGAAAAAGACACTTGAGAATTATTGCTACAGACTGCCAATTCATATTATGTACTAATAGTTGTATGTACAAGAGTAAAGTATAATAAACTCGACAAACCTTTCTTGTTTTTCTTTAATATTATATTCATATGCAGTGCTAAGAGCATATTAAATTAAATGGATACATATGTACTATTTTTCAACAAATATTATTATTAGTCGCGATTTTCAAACATGTCTCCTAGTAATGATATGTATGTACTAAATTATTTTCACGAGTATGTTGTTCAGAGGCAAGTTAATATTCTCAAATTACAGTTTGATCATATTCATACGGAAGAGGATTAGGGCCACATGATTAATTTTTTTGGGAGGATTTGAAAAAAAAAACGTTTTTTTTTTGTTCTGAGAAAAAACTCAGAATTCTGACTTTAAAGTCAGAATTCTGAGATTAAAGTCAGAATTCTGAGTTTTTTCTCAGAACAAAAAAAAACTTATGTGACCCTAATCCTCTTCCGTATATTCAACATCTTATGGTCTTCAAAATAAGCAAATCTCATGGATCTGCGTAAAATAAGGAGCTGTGTTTGCGCTTCAGGTGAGAACACAGCTTTGGCACTGTGTCGTAGGACTACCCGATAACTGTATTGATAACACTGTCAGTAGCGTCTCAACTGTTGTATATGTAGGCTTGTATTCACCTGGTCATTCAGAGAGGACGCATGAAAGGATGTGTCTTTCTGCAACACTGTTTGTTGTTGCCCAATAGGCAGTGACATCTGTATCCGTGTCCTTTACCAAGCAATCTGTTCAAGCATGCTTAACTAAAGGGACAGCAGGGGCTCCTTGTGAATGAACCCTTGATTGATGTTGAGAATGGCCTCACGTCCTCACTACATACTGCCCTGCTGTATGTGAAGGAATAATAGAAATTGCAAAATGAATAACTTTTCAGAATTTACAAAACACCAAAGGAAAGTATTGAAATTATAATCCTAGGCCTTGAACTCCGGAGGAACATTAATTGAGGTGATGTTAATTAAGTTTGGGGTCAATCCAACCCCACAGATGTCTCGCTCCTCTTCTCTTCTAATCCTAATGTAGGACTATTTTAGGATCTGGGATAAATAGTGCTGTTACCACCAATCACAGATGTAGACAGAATCATGTTTTACATGTTTACAACATGTCTCGGAGATCACAAACAGAAATATGTATGAGAATGTATTCCTGAAACATGTTATCAGTATAAGCGCATTTCATACAAATTAGGAGAAGTCATAAAGTAACCACTTGATAAACAATGTTAGGTATGTTCTTCAGTTAAAGAGGGCCCATACACAGGGTTTAGGTTGAAAAAAGAAATGTACTGATTTGATTGGCTTTGTGTCTCAAAGTTCTTTCAAGAGGCTGTGGATTGCAATACTTTAAGCATATGCTTCAAGGGCCGTACTGTGCATAGAATAAATTGCTCATTTTAATATTCAGATTTTGCCTGATTCTGGGTTTAGAAAAGTTATCCTCCATGTTTTCATTTAGTGAAGTTTGTTGCTGTTTGGTCAGATTGGGAGCAAACCTGTCATCCTTATTGTCCACTCGCTGAACATTAGTATATACTTAGCCGGTATCTGAATTTACAATGATAACATTTCAAGTCTCCATGCCAAGATTTACAAGGGAGCGTTTTCATTGTTATATAAAATAAGTTTCAAATATTAAAGAACTGAAGTATAAAATCCAATTCCCTTTGAAATAGTGAGAGAAGTGGGAGAGAAAGATGAAATATTTTCAGGTAAATGACAGCAGATCGATTTAGCTTTGTGGAGTGGATTGCATCTGACTTGTTCAGATACATACAAAAGTCAAGATACTGTGTGAATAGGAATGTTATGAAGTACATAATTAAATGATGGTCTACTTATTTCAGAATTTCTGGCTTGATTGTATTTTAATCGTTTTAGGGCAAAGCATTTCAGTAATTCCTTTAATCTTAATTTCACCGGTGATAAAAACCAAAGTTAATGCATTTTCAGATGAAGAGGGGATGAACTTTATTATGGTGCTGTTTTCCTTTACTTTGAGTGAAGACGACAGGCAGAGATCTTCCCTGTGGCAACACTTCAGGCGTAGTTAGAAAGACATCTGAGAGCTAAGATACAAAGAGACACACACACAAACACGGACACACACACACCCATACACACGCACGCACGCGCGCGCGCACACACGCGCGCGCACACACACACACACACACACACACACACACACACACACACACACACACACACACACACACACACACACACACACAGACAATCAGTATGCTTCAAATTGAGAGATCTACCTTTGTGTTGTGTGAGGTGACAAATAAATACCACACATTGCTTATCATTTGTGTATTTTTGTAATAAAAACATTTAAAAATTATACATCTAGAATACTTGCTGATCTTAATGTACATGCATGAATCTTCATCACAACTTGCAATCACTGATACTAAAAAAGTACTAACATCACTTTAACAATCAATGGTTCAGCAGCAAGAAATAAGTTATTGATTTATAAAGCTTCCCATAGATTTTGTAAACAGGAAGTACAACATTTTCATGTGGTCGGTTAATTAGCTGAGCCCCGTCCTTGGGCCTGTATTTGTTTTTAAATTGGCAAACTGGTTCCTTTTAAATTGTGCTGAATTAGCTATTGGAAGTTGCGGTTCGCAATGTATCGATGTTTGTTCAGAAATACTATCACTGCATTACTTTAATACTAAAAAGGGATATGTTTCAAGGTCTGGAGTTATAAAAGAGCGTATTTTTCCTAATGATCTCTAAACTGATTTATGGACTATTTTGCTCCAAAGACGTGATATGATATCCTCGGAAAATGTGAGTCACACTAAATGTAAAGTTAGTTCATCGTTTTCAAGGTGTTTCATAAACATTATTATATAGGTGTGCATTGCAATCATGAGACCCACTTAGATGTTGTTGTTTTTTTTGGTTTTCAAAACAAAATGTGATGGAGTGTAACAGGGGTTGGTTTCTTTCAATTCAGGAGCACACTTGGGACTGAACAAAATTGAGGAATTATGTATTGATTGGAATAATTGACCTTTACACAACATCGAAGGACAACATGTGACCAGAAATCAAACAGTGGGTGGGATTTTTTTCTCTTCTTGCAGGGACGCGGGAAGGGGGGGTGCTGAGGGGGCTGCAGCATCCCCATCTGTTGGCGGAGAGTTGTAACTGCAATGCCAAAATGTTCACTAAACAAATCAATACAAAAGTTTTATTTTGAGTTACTATTTTTGAGTTAGCATTTTAGTGTATGTATAAAAAGCTTCACTATATAAGAGAAAGTGATAATGCGGTGTGTTTCTTCTGTTGCTCTGCTCGTCAGTGCAGACAAGATCAGGGATGGGAGTTTTGTGAAAGCAGGGTTTAACAACTGGCAAAAGGCAGGGGAAACATCTCTCACAAGCTGTTGCTAAAGACCAAATGACTGCATTTAATATGACGTTATTATACAGGGCCGCCCCTCCCTACACGCAGATCACGCAGACCCCTCGCGGATGGGGCCTTATTTTGCGGAGGGAGCCTCCTCTGAAGCACAAACGCGGCGCACGCGGCGCACCTACAGTGTAGCGCGCCACCCCAAACTCTGACTGACTTCCCGCGTCCCTGTGTTCTTGTTGTTGTTTTCTCCCTCATGTTTATATTTCAGGATTAATATATAAATGTGTTCCAAAGCCTGATAGAGCTTATTCCTCTGCCACAGAGCACCAACGTTGTCCAGAAATAAACAGTCAGTTTATTTATATAGCACATTTAAAAACATTTGAGTCTGTGTGTTTTCCAGTCGGACGGCTGTGCATCCCCATAATTACACTCACTACTGTGGTGCTGTTAATGCTCAGAGAGTACACAATGTGAATTATTCCACAGCTAAAAATAGTACCCGACAAAGTCACTGGTTACTTCTGTTTTAGTAACACCCATTTACTGTAGGAAATGACCTCTGGAAAACAAAATGAAAATGTCTATTTGTGACCTAAACTTAAACATGTCCAATTTAAAGAGGGGAAGTATCAGCCTTGTCATTTGCAACAAATCACATCTTGTTCAATCTTGCATAATGCACCCTGTTGTTTTCTTAAGCTGAATATAGCACATTATTGGTTGCTCTCAAATAGTTTTTTGTGCTTACAAATCTCATATTAGAAGACAATGGAGAGGGAAGCAAAACAAAGTTCCAATTAAGGTTATAAGATAAAGCACTAAATACATTTTGAGTTGATGATGGGACTATCTTCTATGAAAGGAAATCCATTAAATAGGAATCAAGATATTTTATTAACATGAAAAGGTGTCAACCACATGGAACTCATCCATCGAGTACGTCCCTGATAAAGAGATATTTGTCTAATAAAGAGAATAATGGAAATCCATTAGGTTATTGTCAAGAAATGTTACTCTATACCACAAATGTCAAAGTTGGTGATAGAGGAACAGTCAGGGGATCATAAATAACTTTATATGTCAAGTCAAATCATGCAATAGTTATTGAGATATTTTTGTCTGAAGACTGAATTTAGACTGATCAAACTTAAGACCAGCCATGCAAGCACAACTGAGCAAAACCAGTTATCAGCTCTAACTCATTGCTAAATACACATCCATTGATCCATTGTGACATTAGATCACATGAGTTTGAATAATATTGAACAGTGCTCCTTTAATGTCCAGTGTGTCGTTCTCTTGAGACCATTGTGCTGCAATAGCTGCATGAGGGTGTAGGTTGTTCATGTATGCACTTAATTCCCTTTGACAGGGCTTTGTCCCTCAGTGAAGGGTCAGGCAGGCCAGGGGGGCTCGGTCGGGGGCTGTCAGGCCCCGTCGCCCCGTGCACACAAGGGTCATTTCCAGTAATGATGGACAGGATGGTTCAGTGACGCCTGAGGCCGTCTGCCACAGCACACAAGCAGAAAGACAACGTTCTGTTGAAATCTGTCATTCTGTCTGTGTTTGTTCCCTTGTGTTTGTCAGGGAATTGCCCAAGCAACGCATCATGACACACACAAACAAATATACGCACACATAACAAGTGGTACTCTTTAGTTTTAATATGTTTCCTCTCAACTGGAGTTTAACTTTATCCCTCACTGAAGATAAAAATAACATGAACTACTATCCTACAAAGTATTTTATTGTTGAAGACACACCGCCTCGCAGTCAAAGTCTAATATTTTATTCCCATTTAAAAAACTAAATGTATTATAATAAACTATTGTCACGTTTTGTTATTATATAATAATTGTAAAATGAATGATAATATAATTAATTTGAATGCAAGGACCATTGTTCCTGCCTGGTGTCTCAATATGTCCATTGTACCCAGTGTTATTTTCATAGCTGCTCACTTATTTAAAAATATAATAGTTTTAGTGCGTTTCTAAGTCCCTTAAATCACACATTGTTAACCCTCATGGCCTAACCTTTCATCTTCTCCCCTTGTCCTTACATCTAAAGTATTAACCCATTAAGTATCTTATTAATAACCTGTGTGCAGAGCTTTAAGATAAAACAATAACTTGCATATTGTGATCTACCAAATTGATCAGATTAATGTTAAATTGATTTCTGAAACCTTATCATACATGAGTGTGTGTGTGTGTGTGTCATTTCCATCCTGTTGTTGACTCCCAGTCTAAATTACACACTGCATGCAACAGCTGCTGCATGCCTGAGCGATCAGACACAGAGCAGGAATCCGCGTGGCAGTTTCATCCTCAGTTATAATGACTTTTTAACAGATTTTCTGCATTTAAAATAATAATTTTGAACGTCCTTCAGAAATCTTTCTTTGTGATAAGATCTTTTTGGGGTTAAACAAGAAACATGCTGCCCTTGTTTAAGAAAGCAGCGGAAATGTTTCTTGGTGTGTCATAATGTAAACAATGACTGCAACAATTTCAAATAGACAGAAGTGTGTGTATCTGTGTGCTTAAGGGCATGCATGTATGAGCCAGTCAATGCATGCGTATATCAAGAGAGAACAAATGGCAAAAAAAGTTTAAAATGATTTAATATTAACAGTTACTATGTGATTAACAAGCTCCTGGGATTTCTGGATTACTTTGCCATATAAATGTGTCTATTATGAAAGCATTGATCAGTTACTTAAGGATATACATGTATTTAATCGACTGGCAGTAGGCTGATTAAATGTATTAGTCTCATAGATCTTCGTTTGTTGTCTTTGGCGGCACCTATGGCCATAGGTGTTAATTGCAGGTGCGATTTTTTATCTAATTTCCCAGACATACAAATAGTGAAGTTGCTTTTTCCCCGGGACTGTAGCCACACACACACACACAGTTCAGTAATGCTGCAAATGCCAGGACTTTCATCACTGGACTATGTCCTCAATCTCTATTGTATTACCTCATACTTCTATGAATAGTGACTTAAAATGTAGTATTTAATTACAATTGTAGAGATTTACTGTACTTTGACAAGTGTATTGGTCACCATAAAGCAATATAAAACCTTTTCATCCAAATATGTACATAACTTGTCAGTTTTTAAAATGAAACATTGCAAGTTGCAAATATCTTCCAAGAGCACAGTTAAGCATCCTAGGCAAAGTAATTATTCATATGCAAACACATATGTGAGTGCAGCCTCACGCATCTTCAATCAACGCTCAAAGACCAAAAGCTTTCCAAAAAGATGTTATCTCCCTTTAGGGGATTCATTATACAAAACAGCAGTCCTATGATAACATACATGCACATGAAAGAAATATGGGATAATCTTACCGGCATTTATGCTACTATGGATCACAGAGCAGTTGTGCAGACTGAGGTTGAGAACAGGAGAACAATCCACTATGAAAGTGCTGACTAAGAAGAAGTTAAATCCAGTTAAAAATCCTCCTGTGAAGAAGGAAGTGGAGCTGTAGTCCTCATCATTCATTCAAGCACAAAGTCCCTCACACATTCCAGCTCTTTATCCCTGTGATTCAGCCTCTCCTCCTCCGCCTCTTGTTCTGTGGAGCGCTTAACATCAAGTCCCCACTCCACTGCCCCCCCCCCCCCCTCCTCACCCGCTGAAAGGCTTACAGCAGTCCTTATCACATGCACACGCTCTTCCTTCTAGAGCAGGGGTGGGGAACCTTTTTCCTCTGAAGGGCCATTTCAATGTTTTCAACATCCTCCGAGGGCCGTACAAATGATTGACCTCTGCTTAAAAAAAACTAAAATCACAGCCCATTCATTTCGCCTTTCTTTCAGGCTGTGCAAAGAAAAAGCAACCTCTTAATCCAGATATCTCACCATGACTCGCGCATGCATTCATGTGCACGGTTGTGGCATGACCACCAAAACAGAAAGATATGGACACAAGATGTGTGCAAATGTATTTAGTTTCCTATCCATGTGAACATGATTTAAGTGGTGGGGGGGGGGGGGGGTACCTAACCTCCTCTATGGGGGTCCGGGGGGCATGCTCCCCCGGGAAGAGTTAAAAGCATCAATCTGGTGCACTTTGAGAGCAACATTAGGAGATCTATGGAAATATCTCTCAAAACCCATTTGAAACAGAACTGTAAGCAGATTTACTTTTTCTTTATGGATATTTTACAAATCACTCCCCTTTCAAACTGTATTCTTGTTTATTAATAACATCTTTAATAACATTTTTACTATCATAGTATTTTATACCCGTTTACTTTATTCTCTTATTTTTTTATAACTATAATGATCATATAAAGATGTGCCTTTACCTCACTGGTTGGAGAAAAAGCTTCTTATATTCGTTAGCATAGCTAGCTAACCAGATGCTAATAACAACAAAGTTATTGACTGTATGATCAGTATGACAGATGAACAGATCGCCACTGGGCTTTCAACTAAAGACACAGCCACGTAAAAACTGCGGCATGTGTACGGCTCCTTATGGGTAGGCCTACAGCTTGGAAGTGCCGGAGCGACGTTCTGGTGCTCTCCGTCAGAACTGCACCCCTGTCAGACGAGACATATACCACGTGACGACACGTTAGGCTCGTGTTGTGTTCAAGGTCCCTGACCTTGGCCAGGAAAAACAGGCACTCGCTTTGTTTAATTTGTTTGCGGTCTAGATTTCTTTAACTTTTTTCTTTTTTGCGTGTGTTTATAAATTACCTCGAGGGCCGTACCAAATGGTCTCGCGGGCCGTATACGGCCCGGGGGCCGGAGGTTCCCCACCCCTGTTCTAGAGCTTCAAGGTAAAATCCACAGCAGCTCCTTTCTCAATCTTTAATCCCACATTCGTTCTCTGACGTGTCTCCCTCCTCTTTATCTTGTTTCATTTTTCATATCTGACATGTTAGACTCTTATTGTATTCAATTAACTGTTCACTTTATCCCCAAGCTCATTTTGGCATAGGCCTATATTTATTTCATCTGCTGTACACCTTTATTCTTTTTACGTTTCACATGGTTGACCTGATGACAATGCACTCTTGGATGTTGTTGCCTTGGATTCTCGGATAGCTTGTATACTAAAACACTCCAATAATGAGAATTGAACTGTTTTGGACGGGGTAAAATACATCCATCCTCTCTTTGATATTTATCCAGCTTTGACCCCGATGGCTTTGGTCCTTGTGAGCAGCTTTAATCATGTCTGGCACACGGGTCACATCTCATACTCTTTCTTCCCCCGGGAGAGCAGACACTGCAGCACTAAGTAAGACCCCTGCCCTCAGATATGGTTTGAAACACTGTATTTGATCCTCAAGGGATTTCAACCCTGCCAAATAAACACATTTTGTATAGCATATTCCATTCTATAGTAAGGGGCATGATGTACAGTATGTCTGATATTGCTTTCCAACAGGATATAACCTGGCTGCTGGTCAACTACATACAGGGTGCCTGTAGCCTGAGAGACTGACTTAATGCTACAGCATGTAACAAAGGAACATCTTCATAGCCTGCTGTCAAAACTAATGGGTAAAGATCTGTTAAAAAATGCATGCTAAAAATGAAACAACACGAGGCAGCATTTATCTGGGTGAAGTCTCTCTGAGGTGACGGTTTTTAGATTAAAGCCAACATCTTATTGAAATCTTATTTGAATGCAGCACCCTGGTTGGGCACTAAGATGCTCACCATGAATGATGAGTCTGGCTAATTTTAAATGAGACCTGGTGGTAATGCTAGAGGAAAATTCTGACGCAGACATCTAAGCAGCATCCTCCTGGGTCTGAAATGTGAATACAGTCAGGAAATGTATTAAACATGTATTCTTTCAAAGGGCCAGCACTGGTTCAATAGAAGTTCTGAGAAAACGACCCTACTTCTGACTGATTTCTTCTCAGTAAACATTTTCTTCAATGCAACATGATATTTATTTAATAAATTATAGGCCCAATTACAGTAAAATTGAAAAATAAACAGCGTATTCAACTTGTAGGTTCTTCCCTTTTGGCTTTTGTCCATGTTTTCATCTTAGGACTTTTTGCATTGTGTTTTCAGTTCATAAAAAGTTAATTTCTGTCTCCTAAAAACGTCCTTGCAGCCTTCAACTGCCATGTTGCTTCTGGTTACAAACAATAAACTTGAGGCTTAAAAAGATACAAAACCAAATAAAAAAACAATAGAAATCTTGACTACATCCACTTGTTATGAGTCACAATAATTTTTATTGTGACTCCATGTAAAAGGCTGTCTTAGTTTTCACAGACAATCCATCTTGTAGACAGATTGACCAAGAAAAAGATGAATTAAACAACAAAAATATATTAAAAGATATATACAAAACGTTCATGCTATGTTATAATCTCAGTGGTCTCTATTTACAGAAAAACACTATTATTTTGGCTCTGTATTCCAGCGCAGTGGATTTAAAATGAAACTGCGATTATGAGACCGAAGGGCTGTGTTTCAGAGGAGAGAAGCGCTTTCTAAACGAACTGCTCTCTGTCTGATCTAGTAAAGAGTGCACTTGCCTCAGGTTAGTGAATACTGATTTAGTAACACTGCTACCATGAAATGACTTCATTTAAAATCAGATTTTCAAGATTTTCATATTCAATTATATGCTAAAACTGATTAAATTAAACTTACTTTCAAGTCCAACATATGAACCTCAAATCTATCTTCAAACCTCTGATCTCAACTACAAATCTGTAAATATTAGTCACTGCAACTGACACGCTTGCAAAGCTATCACTGTGACAAAAAATATCAAAATAAAATGAAGACAAAAAAATGGTTTAATGTTTATTGTGCCTTATTCCGAATACCCTGACGTGTGCATATAGGTATCTGATGGGAACACTTGTCTTTGATGACTGTTGATGGTAAACGTTGTATAATGATTCAAAGCATTGCAATTACGAAATGAATCAAGGCAGCAAATTATAAAATGAAATCTTATTTGTTTAAACTGATTATAAACTACTATAACCTCTCTATGACCTCTTGTAAATACCCACATGTGTAATGCTGGACTTTCCTCCCTGCAGCACGTATCTGACTCACTGCTGTCACAGTTCACTTTTACTGCCAGGAATTTCATGGAACATTGTGGTTTTGTTCCCTGCAGTAAAAAACATGAGCAATACGATTGCTCTTTTATTCACTGAAAATGTTTTCAAAATCAGCCAGCCTTGTTTACTTTCATTAAACCTTGATGCAAAATGTACAAGCCTTTAGTACACAGCTTGTTTTGTGAAATGTTGAAACACTGACTTATAAGGCAAGGCAAGGCAAGTTTATTTATATAGCACTTTTCAACACAAGGCAATTCAAAGTGCTTTACAAAAAATGAAAGAGATTAAGAAAATGGCATTTAAAATCAGTAATTAAAAAGAAAAGCTAATAAAATAAACATTAAAATAAAAAAGTAAATGGATAAAAGTTACAGTGCAGTCTAAGATATGAATAGTTCAATTAAAAGCAGCGACAAAAAGAAAAGTCTTCAGCCTGGATTTAAAAGTAGTCAGAGTTGTAGCGGACCTGCAGGTTTCTGGGAGTTTGTTCCAGATATTTGGAGCATAATAACTGAACGCTGCTTTACCGTGTTTAGTTCTGACTCTGGGGACAGAAAGCTGACCAGTCCCTGAAGACCTGAGAGATCTGGATGGTTCATAATTTAGCAGGAGGTCAGAAATGTATTTTGGGCCTAAACCATTCAGTGCTTTATAAACCAGCAGCAGTATTTTGAAATCTATTCTTTGACACACAGGAAGCCAGTGCAAAGACTTCAGAACAGGAGTGATGTGATCCACTTTCTTAGTGTTAGTGAGGACTCGAGCAGCAGCGTTCTTAATCAGCTGCAGCTTCCTAATAGATTTTTTTAGTGAGACCTGTGAAGACACCATTGTAGTCGAGTCTACTGAAGATAAAAGCATGGACAAGTTTTTCCAAATCCTGCTGTGACATTAGTCTTTTAATCCTAGATATATTCTTTAGGTGATAGTAGGCTGATTTAGTAACAGTTTTAATGTGACTGTTGAAACTCAGGTCAGAGTCCATGACTACACCTAGATTTCTGGCTTTATCTGTTGTTTTGAACATTGCAGGCTGAAGCTCAGCGCTAACTTTTATACATTCTGACTTGGCTCCAAAAACCATTACCTCAGTTTTATCTTTGTTTAATTGGAGAAAGTTCTGACACATCCAGTCATTGATTTGTTCAATGCACTTACTCAGTGTTTGAATTGGAGCATAGTCTCCTGGTGAAATTGTTACGTAAATTTGTGTGTCATCCGCATAGCTATGGTAACTTATTTTGTTGTTCTTCATTATCTGAGCCAGTGGTAGCATGTAGACGTTAAAGAGAAGAGGCCCCAAGATGGAGCCTTGAGGAACCCCACATGTCATATTTGTCAACTCAGATGTGTATTTACCTAAAGAAACAAAGTTGTTTCTGTCCTTTAAGTAGGATTCAAACCAATTCAGAACTGCTTCCGAAAGTCCCACCCAGTTTTCCAGTCGGTCTAGTAATATGCTGTGGTCAACAGTGTCAAACGCAGCACTGAGATCTAATAATACTAACACTGAAGTTCTGCCACT